GCCTCGGCGGGCGCCATATCTTGAGGTTCGCTCTTCGGGGGCGCTGTTGTGGTGAGGCCGGACTGCCCACGGCTTCGATCACGGCCACGCGCTTCTTCTGCACAGAGCAGGAACATCATAAGTCCGACACGGTTAGGGCATTCATCAATTTCAGCGTTGCATTAGCACCTGATGATAGATGTCAGTGGTTCTCAGATATGCGTTGCGTTCATTTATTAGATAAATAATAAGCTTGATACTAATAGGTATATATAAATCTTATATATAAATATCAATGTATATCCATATTAATGTATATCTCTCTCCGTCCGCTCCTTAATTTTCAAACACCATAACATAAGGATTAAACTTTGATTTTAACACGGCGTGTTGCACCTTCTTCTTCTTGGGGCGAACGAGAAAATCGGCTGCGCCAGTGGGCAACGTGTGAAAGAGGAACGGGAAGAGAGACAGGCTGTGGTCAGCGCGGACGCAGCACGAGCAATCTTGAGGCCAAAAGGGACTTACCTGGTACGCTTGAAGGTTGGTTATTAACCGAGGCAGCCAGTTCAGGCTCCGTGGTTGTGCCGACGATGCTCGCGATCGCCATACCGCCGGCGTTCGAGGGCCTCAATCGAATTAAGGCCGTCGACTCTGCAATAATAGAAAATAAAAGAGTAAATAAATAAACGCTTATGGCAAATTCGGAGGAAAAAGGGTGAGCGCACCATCGACTACCGAACCTCGCCTTGGCTGGGAGGGCTCAGAGGTGCTGTGCGTGGAAGTTGCAGGACGCGTCGGGGTGAGCGTAGAGTATCGGTCTGCTGCCGGCTTTTCCTTCCTGCAAGGTAAAGCAAAGCCAAACCATTATCAGTGTCCGTCGCCTTGCATCCGCCCATCATGACCACACCAAGCATGATGATTGTTACCTCTTCGCTTGTAGGGCCTTGTGGATCTCCTCCTCGCTCACCGGCTGCTCGTCGAACACCTTGAGCCGGTCATTGATGTCGCTTCGCTCGGTGATGAAGTGGGCCACGATCTCTCGCCGGTAGTGTCGGTAGCACTCCTCCCGCGAGCTGGCTCGGGTCCGATTACGGATGCACGCGGGGTTGCCCAGGGTGTTGAGGTAGACCAGCAGCGGCAGTTCGCTCAGCCGCTTGATCTCGTCTGGGTCGTCGATGGCGTTGTTGCTGAGGTCCAGCTTCTCCAGCGAGTAGAGCTTATCGAGGGAGCTCGTGGTCTTGATTTGGTTGTTACACAGTATGAGCACCTTGAGCCCGCCCAGCACGAAGTGGATATCCTGCACGGAGGCGATTTTGTTGAACCCCAGATCGAGCAGGCCCAGCTTTATACAGTGATCCAGGTTTTCGATCTTCCGAATGAGGTTGTGTGCGAGCGCGACGCGCCTGACGTTAACCAGCGCATGCTGTAGTGATGAGATGTAAGAAAGGGCTGCACTACTGGACTTCAAGTCAAACATCAAGCGGGGTGCGTACGAGAGATGCGTCAATCTCTACGATTTGGTTATGGCTGCAGTCGAGAACGTTGAGTTCTCTCCAGTCAGATGGTTGCTCCACCTCGGCATCCTGGAACAGGCGTTATGGACGAACGTTGTGGTGGTAGAGAGAAGAGAAGAGAAGAGAAGAGAGAGACTCACCTCGTCCCCGCTTGGCTTGTTTACAAGAAGATCTCGCAATGTGGTCACACCCGAGTTGAGACAAATGAGTTGCACCAATCGCGGCCCCACCTTATCCCGCAAGTTCTGGATGAGCGGAGGAAACACCTCATCGATCTAACGCGAGAACATACGAAAGAGAGAGAGAGAGAGAGAGAGAGCAGTTAGACCACTACACCTCACGATGATGGAGTGGACGGACAATACGGACCTCAAGGTACTGCAGCGATTTGAAGCGGGAGAGATTGACCATGGTCTTGCATTCCAACTGGCCTGGCCGTCTGGACTCCAACTACGTTGAGACAAAGTGGTCATGTTGGTCAGCACATGCACATTATGGGACGATCATCAACCGAACACGAGCAATGGCAGAGAGGCCTCTAGAGACGACTCACCCTAACGCTGGGGATCTCTTCGAGCAGCATGGACAAGCGACTCATCGTATCACGGTAGGCAGCGCCTTTGGCCGTCTGAGATAGCGCAGTGATACGCTTGCCTACATCGCGCACACACCA